TTTATTTATATTTAATAAATTCATTATAAATTATAGTAAAAAAAATAAATATTAAACTTTTGTAATTTGTGTCTGAGATTATTAAATACAATAAATCAAAATAATTAAAAATCTTAGATGAAAAAACCGTGCATTGCACGGGCTTCCATCTAGTATATATATATATATATATATTTGTATAATAACATGATTTAAATATCAAATTCAATCAATTTATCCATTTACATATGATTTTCGTTTTTAATAAAAAAAATTATTTTTCTTTTACCATACTACTACGTACCATTTTTTTTTAAAAAAAAGCCCTTCTATTTTATTTCATACTATTACGTACTATACTATGTTTCTTTTGGTTAAAGTACTATGTTCCTTATTACTAATACTTTACTCTATTATTATAATTATGAAATTATTATAATTTATTGTTTTGAAATTAAAACAAAGTTATTATTGTTTTAAAGTAATACAAGTTTGATGGTTTGGTAAGTCATGCACAAGTAGAATGGCGTTTATGGTTTTTTTGTTATTTTGTTAACCTTATATTAATTAAGGTTATTTTATTGTGTAGGAGGATTCCCTTGATCGTGGTCAAGTGTAGTAGTCGTACCTTAATTGTTCTCGAGATCAAGGTACGTATATGTGGCTAGGTCCTTGATACAGGTTTTGAATGCGTGTTTTGATGAACGTTTATTGCGATGAGTTAAAAATATAATTTTTTTCGATTTTAAAAGTTTGATCTTTAAAAGTGCTAATTAATTTAATTAAAGTTGTTTATAAATCACTTGATTACAAGTTATCAAATCAAAGGATTAATTTAAACTTGTAGCTCGTTATGGGCCTGAGTATTTATTATTTTAATTGTCCCTCTACCCGGGACTGGTTAAGTAAGACCGTGAACTTTGTATGATCTGGTCTTTCCTCGAGTATAGTTTAACTTACTTGGGGGGTGTGCACACTTAGGTGAGGAAAATTGATTTTGGAAATTCATCTTAAATTGGAAATCTATTGGTTTGGAAATTTTCTATTAATGGACGTTACTACTTTTGGATGGTTTAAATTTTGGAAAGTCCAATTTTGAAAAGTGACTTATAGCAAGTTTTAATTAGAATAATTGTTTTGAAAGCATGTTTGTCTAATAAAAGCATTAACATGCCTTGCACTTATATGTACTTAGCGTTTTTGCTAATCCGTTTTCCTTTTTGTTTTTGGTTCGCCCTGTTTAATATTATTGGTAAGCAGTCTTGAGTCGGGATCAGAATCACTTAGTTAGGAATTTATTCATTCACGAGTCAAGTTTTATTTGGAGTATTTTCAAACTATATAATATGATAATTATATTATTAATAAAGTCAGTTATTTTTCCGCTGCCGTTATTAGTAGTTAATAAGCCTTACGTTTTCACGCAGCGGTAATACGCCCAAGTCTATCTCTACGGTACGTATAATTATAGTATCTACGTAGAGGGAGATTTGGGGGTGTTACAATTTTTCCTTAATTTTCTTTAGTTTTGCATTTTAGATTTCAATAAATCTACACGAGTAGTGTAGATGTTCGTTTGTCTCCTTGTGGTGGATTCGTTAGTTTTTATTAGTTCAGTTATTTGTTTTCGTTTAGGGTTCTTTTGTGGTTAGAGTTTATAAAAAAAGGTAAGCATCTTTTGCCCTATTATCAGTTCATTGGTAAAGATTTGTTCGGCATCGCAATGGTTGTCAAATTTTCAGATACGTTCAAGTGAATCGGATGAAAATCATTCTTACAGCTACAATAAATCATTAGACCGTCTCTCCGAAAAGGCTGTATATTCCAGCGATGTATGCGAAAGATGTACCATAGTGCAAGATCTATTCAACGATCGTAGCTTCGATGAAGGAAACCCTTATTTAATTCAATTTTATGTATTTGTTAATTTAGATTTCATTTGTAGATGGCGTATGACTTTTAATTAATGAATTGATTTGTTTAAAAAAAAAAAAAAAAAAAAAAAGTCTAGTAAACTAGCCAACACCCCAAGTCTAATTAGTACGTGTAGCACTCTATACCAAGCAATGCAAGCAAGGCCATTGCACAACTAAAAGAAGAATTACGTTGTTTGGATTTTGGAATGTGTAACTATGTAAGGAGTTAGAAGTGGTCCGGGAGCTAGCTACTAAGAAGAAATCTAAGAAGGATTGTATTTATTGCCTGAATTAAATCATAGTTAATTAACAAGCGGGAAATGATGCTATTAAAATGAGAAATATGTTAGCGCCAATTATGGAGAATATGTAATTTACGGAATACGAAATCTATGACTCCATACTTCATTCTCATACTCCTACTTGTAGACTTGTAGTAGTAGGTGAAGTAAGAAACAAGATATTCTAATTATTAATAATAATAATAAAATAATACGTAGTAATAATAATAACCATAAATAAATGGTGTATTATAATGACGTTGGACCATTTGCTGGGAATCACTATCACATTCACGGTGTGTAAATGGTACACCACAACGGAAGAATTCTTGTGGGACCCATTTTCTTTTATTTGTTTTTGACGTATTAATAGGGTATTTTAACAAAATACAATATACTTTTTTCAAGATCTTCGAATTGTCAAGTGTGGGAAAAGTATTTCCTCCGTTTTTAAATACTTGTTCCATTTTTTTTATGTGCGGAGTTTTTTAGAGGAAGTAATAAAATGTGGAAGTAGTGGGGTAAGTGGAAGAATAAAAAATTGTAAAAAATAAAAGAAATTGAGATGAAGGAGAGAGAATATAAAATTAATAAAATATGATTTATGTTGGATTCACTAGTTGAGAGAAATAAATTAAAAACTTTTCAAATAAGGAAATTGAACAAGTAATTAAAATGGCCGAAAATAAAAAGTTGAGCAAATATTTAAAAATGGAGAGAGTAAATTTCAATATGTACATGATACTCGTACTTTATAATTTCATACTTGTACTTTAATATCATACTTAACTTTAATTTCAAACTCCTTTGAAAGACAAGATTGTTTTATTTGCGCTTAATAGGGTCTCTAGTTGTGCGGGGTTTCGATTGATTATGGCTCGAACTCGGATTACGAAATCAACACAAGAATTTTCTTTCTCACAAAACTATGAAGCGGCGATGGATCCACTCAAAAAGTTATATAAGACAACGAATCGAGAATGTGCCGAAGTGTTATATCTATGTATTTGGATTCTTAGCTCTTCCCCAATTAATTATTGTTTGATTTTGTTAAATCTGTTTTCATTATCGTTAACTGTCAATTATAGATATCGTATGACTTTATTTAATGAAATTTAATGTTCTTCGTGGACTTCATTCAAAAAAAAATTAATAATAATAAAAAAAAATTAGAATCTTACGTGAATTTGTGAGCCATTAAACACATGATAATTTTATAATATGGCAATATATGTTATAAAAAAAAAAAATAGACACCATTTGTATCTATTCACGGGTTTTATAAGTTGTCAAATATAATTAAATCCACAGGTTTCCTATGTGGCTGGTTGGGGTTAATTATTCAGGGGTAACCCTGACCGATCGAACCCCTGAATAAGTAACCCTTAATCGAGTAACCCTTGACTGACCAAGTAAACCCTGAATAAGTAACCCCGGCCACACCTTTTGTTAATCTATAGTACACATTATGCTGGGATTATCACTAATTCTGCTATGCTCATCATAGCCATGGAAGATGGAACCACTCTTCCATGCACCATCCATTAATGAGGACTAGCTTGGTAGTCCAATCTTCAACAAGCTGGCCAAACTATTTTCTTGGATATGAATTCCCTTTTTATAAAGTTGAAAGCCAAAGCAATTTGTTAAAGTTTCTACATCAAAACCTTCCAATTAGCTAGGGAGAAATTTCAAACTAATAAAAAGCATACTTTGTCTTTTTAAATTTACAAGATTGATATTGGATCATTCTACTTTAAAGGAGAAATTTCAATTTAACTAGCATATCTTGTCTTATTATTATTATTGTTGTTTTGTTGTACTTTATTTTTTTGGCTAGTTGTTTACTTGTCCAATTTTTGAAGGCATTTTCGTGGTAATTTTTACTTTCAAAAAAGTCAAAAAAGTTTGGAAAAATTAACAAAAATAATCCATACTATTAATATCCTTCTCAAATTAATTTCAACTATCATTTAATGTAAAATAATCCCAATTATTGGGTGCCCCTCTCAAAATAGTCTCTCTTGCCGGTTACCTATGATATCGGTTAACATTTTTAATCCTCCTCCTTTACTGTACATTTCACCCTTTCTTTCTCCCTCCACCATTTCCATAACCTTAGCACTGCCATTCCACTCCAACGATGGCCCAATCAACCCCTTCTTTTGCATTTTACTCCGTACTTCATAGTTAATTGCTTTGGATGTTCACTTCTAAAGTTAAAGGGAAACATCTGCGGTATTCCACAATTACTATAAAAAAACAATGCCATTCCAAATTCCATCTAACTTCTTGAAGATCAAAAGCAACGAAGTCTGCAATGTGATTTCATATGCAATTTAATCCCCTGTTTCTCTTCTGCTTCTCAAAAATTGAAAATCTGCTGAATTTAAACTAGAAAATTGTAGATTTATTCTACCAATTAAGTTGTGATAGTGCAATTGACAGAATTTTCGATTTTTTCTGCAATGTTGATTTGAATTTAAGGATTAGATTAGGATTTAACAACTCCAGAAATGTGATAATCAAAGCAAAAGTATATGATTTTTGTTCATTTCCTAGCCTACTTTGACCAAAAAGAAGACTAAAAAAGGTCCAACCCATTTTCTCCAGCTAACCTTTAATGGCAACTACACCGCGACGTTGCTATGCCCAACTCCGCAACTTGCCTTTTCGCTTAATTTTTTTAAGTTTTTGAGGGGTTGTATTTTTGCTGTTAATTCAAGGAGATGAACGGTTTTGTGGGGGTAGAGGCAGTTTTGTAGAGTATGGTGGCTACGGAGGGCAGGAATATAGGGAAGGGAGAGAGGTTAGGGAAGAAGGATTTTTTTTTTTTGTATTATTATTTTAAAAGCAAATCAATCTTAAAGTGACACATCATACTTTTAACCGGTTTAATAGGTTATCCAAACATGAAAACTAATGTGAGAAGGGTAAATTAATAGTTAGAATTATCTCGAGTTAAAGTGTTATTGAGATTAAAATGAAAAGGTGGTCAATAATTGGGATTATTTATGTTAATTTTTCCAAAAGTTTTCAAAACGAAATCGACTTACATAATACGAGTATCACTAATTGATACATAAGGGTATTTAAACAATACAAAGAACGTCCACACGGCACACACAATTGGCAAACATACGCTCAAGCTCGTGCACGCGAGAGTGAATGCAATTGTCATGTTCAAATATGATGGCAATAATGAGTATTGCAGTTTATGCTAACGCTATCTATTCAAAAAGGAGTGTAATTATAAAGGAGCGAGGCTTAAATCATTACTCCGACAAGAACATAACTACAGCTTAAAATAGACAAAAAGGTAGAATCAGGATTGCGAAAGCTCAAAGATTCTTAACGTTGCAGGCAAATTCGTGCTTATTCTGAGCTGTTCATATAACTGCAACCATGTGAATACTCTCATTGGGGCCGCCACGTACTGTGTATTCCTGTAAAGCTGAGCAGCACAGCGTAATGTATTCAGAGTTTTTGTAATGTTGGCGAACAAATATTACAGTACATTTTTGGCAATAAATATGTTTCATAGAAACAGAAATATGCTGAACAAAAATGTGGAGGGAGCAAAATAATGTAGCAATGTTACAACAGTGTACAATTGGCTTTTACCAAAGTTTGTCTTCTCCAGAGCACCAAGTAAACTGATTTATTATGAGTGCAGCAGATGAAGCTCTGGAATGTCTTCTGAAGGATCCATTTCCAACGTACGTTTGTATACTAGGTTCCCAATTCACGGTTTAAATAATCCACAAACATCCTTTTTGCACTTTCTGCATCAGCAGGAGGGGGCCGACCACTTAAGCTAGTTTGCCCCGTCAATTTTATAAAAGTTCTACGAAGTCTACGTAATTCAGGTAATCCAACTACATTTTGAATGTTAATGGTTGGTAATCCCTGACCAATGGTGATTCCATTAAGGGGTCCTCCAAGTGCCTGAGATTGAGCTGCTACGATGGCATTCATTATCTCTAGTGTTGCCCGGTCCATCTCATATAGGGAATTTGCCTCTGAAGTTCGTCCACTTTGCGTAGCAATTGTAGGCTGCAAAATTTTGACATCCCTAGTTTTCGAGTCTACCTTTTTTGTTAAGTATGAGACAGCATCCACAATGGCAGGCGATGATTTTTCTATCTGATCTTTGGATGGCTGTAGCTCAAACAAAGGAGAATCCCATCTATTTTTACTTTCTGGTTTCTCAAACCTTCTCACTAGATCTTCAAAGACATTCTCATCATATGCTGCTTCACCTTTTTCTTTGCGATCCTCATTCCATTTTCGACAATCAGTTTCTTCCACATCAGAGTATAATACACAATATCTTACTCCTGCTGCACGTGCCAAACACCATAACTCATATCGATAACCTTTTATGCTATTCAAGGAGTCTACTATAATAATACTGTCTTTAGACACAGATCTATCAACTTCAGACCTCAGTACCCCCCTTATATTCTTCTCAGCAGTCATATTGGCGTAACCTTGGTTGCGATCTAAGTGAAAGAAAGTTTCATTGATAATCCTAACATTTAGTGTGGACTCCGAGTTTCTAAGAGCTTCAGCTAGGCATGTTGCAGCAGTTGATTTTCCACTGCATGGCTGCGCACAGATCACCACCAAAGCCATTTTTCAGAAAATTGGGTGAAAATGGGGTTAGATTTCTGTTAACAGCCACTGAAGATGGTCATCCAATCACAACTCTCAGCTGCAGTGTAAAGAGAAAATATCAGCAAGACAAGCAGACAATAAATGGAATTCTAATTAATACAATCGACCCTAGAGTCATAGTCACATTAATGAGCAAACTTTAAGAAAAATCTCCCAGTTTCTTGTCATAGGGCTACAAATTAGTCCAAACCTACCAGATTGGGACCTAGATAATGAAAATTCTGGACTGAGGAAACTAGGAAAGGATCCAAATGAGCTGGTATCATCAAAGTTGGTATCTTGCCCTTTTGGTTTAATCACCGCATACAACTTATCAACTTCTCTTTAAACAAAAGGTGCACCGATAAAAGGGCTGTCCGGCTGTGTATTGATAACTACATGGTTCAGGAAGCTCAGGTAGTTAAAGCGAAGGATTGAAAATCCTTATGTCAGTGGTTCGAGTGCACTAAGTGAGTGAAGGGGTCTAAAATGGATGAGCAATTTGGTTTGAGTATTGATCGATTGGGTATATCTATTATCTATATGCCTTTTCAAAGCAGCTAAAATGGTCTAGGGAGAAGGGAAAAAAAAAAAACTTGTAACCAACACAAAAAAGTTTGGTTATTTCGGCTCATAACAGGCAACACTTGATTTTTTAACAGGCTCAAGCTTAACCAATACTTACTCAGCAACAATACATCAACAGTTCACAAGTTTCAACAAGGTAAAATACCAAATTAAAACATTGAAAAAGCCATGCCTGAGATGGACAATACGACTGATTCAAATATAACATAGCCTAAAAGATCTAGAAATACAGTCAACTATGTCTAATTGCTTAAGGCTACACTATTTTTGAGATTGTTTCTAAGCATATCATGGGAACACAGAGTAGAAAATCATATACAAGTAGAACCTAAAAGTCTAGGTGATTAACAAAATAGGGGGAGGGGGGGGGGGGGATAATTCCCAACAAACTTATGGCATGCTACAAACAAGAAGAATAGAAGGAAATATGTTCCATTAAAGCACCATATGCTTTTTTAAACTATACACCGTAATCAATATAGAAAGTACTTTTCAAAAGTTTAAAATTCATTCATGATCATGCAGCTGCATGTTTTGTAGAGCATGATTTTAACAGAACTAGCGGCCGGCAGCAATAGCTTCAACAACCACTAAAAATTGAACAGATAATTCTCCATATTTTTAAAACAGCTCTTGGTACCAAACCCTAATACCCTGAACTATTGGAAATTGATCTGATAATAATTTTAAGTATAAGTTATAAACACAAATAGAAATCCAAACCCAGAAAATTTACATGTATAAATGTAATTTCCTTCACTCCTTTATGGAAGCAATAATTAACACTATAATAATTGCATTCTAATGCAACAAGAAGCGACCATTATGAAACAAAACATTATTTGTGAATTCAATCAACAGTTTAAAGGTTAAACAAAAACTTTCAGACGAAAAATTCAGTTTCACAGACAAATTTAGAAAACTTTCAACTATCAAATCAGTGACTCTTTCTACATTTTCCCAAATTTAGGAATTTCATCAAATGTTCAAAACAAACAAATTGATTGACATCAAAACCCTAATCAATTACTGTTGATTACTTGACTTTTGCAGCTCTCTAATAGGCTCCTATGTTTTTCAAACAAAACTTGTGCAGCCAAAAACTGACACCCAATTTTAGCACTCAACGCTACCGGCGCCCGGCTCCCAATTTCGGTCCCCTCTACATACTATCTGTTCTATGAACTATTTTAGGCCTTGTATAATTACCAATTTGTAGAGCCAGCAGCGTGTTAAATTGTAATGATGCAAGGTCTAAAAGGGTTCGTAGAACCAATAATAAGTCGAGGGAACCGAAATTGGGAGCCGGGTGCCAGCAGTGTTGATGAATCAGTGTGTTTGTCCCATCAAGACAATTGGCACAGTCATATCAATATTTGTCCCATCAAGAGCTCCAATAACACCTTCGAACCACTTCCATTTATTATCAACATAACTAGTAGTGTGATCAGCTTGTTTGATGTAATATTTCCCTAACTTGAGCATGGATGCAAGAACTACATGAAATTGACGACTCACAGTCTCTCCGGATCGTGCAAAGAGGGCTTGCATTGTTCTATTTTTCAAATCATGGGCAAGGGTATGAAGAAATAAAGCCACAATTTATTTTATTGTGACATTTCTCGTGGTCTTTAGCCCAACTTTAGTTTGTAATACATGACATAGCTTCTCACAACGACGTATATCGAGACGTAATTGCTCTCTACATATCCTATCGTTCCTCAAAGTGTTCATCCATGTAGCTTTTGTTCTAGCACGCTCGCATTCATTCCATGTTACCTCCTTTAATCTATATTTCTTACCATACCATGCTCCTACTACTACCATAATAAAACCTAAAACCATCACAACTAACTCCATTTCATCATCATCATCCCTTGGCCGCTTACGTGACTCTTGTATATTCAAATCAGACATCCTTGTGATATTAATAAGAAAAGTAACTAATGAGGAAGTTGATATAACCAAGGTGCATAAATTAAAGCATACTTGTTGTAATCTTTATTTACTAATTCACACACTAACAACAACATTGATCTATATTTTCATTCAACTAGAAAAATAAGGTAAGAAACAAAAGAAGTAGCTAACCAAAGTAGAAAAAAACACCATTAAACAAAACCATCCAAACATAGAACTCGCAATAAATAACCAGAGCGATTGCATAAGAAGAAGACAAAGAGAATACAAAAAATACTATGCAACACTTGTACTCCTAAGCAACAAGTAGTAGGCATTCAGTTTGTAAGACAAATAAACCTCTTATAGACATTAGATGCAGGACCCATTGCACTAAAAATGGCATTGATATTCCAGATCATTTCTGTTTGGTCTCGTAACAATTAAACTCTTTATCATGATCTTCATACTTCATTTAGCTACACATTGAATCTTTTTTGTGTGCATTTTTAACCAAAGTAGCAACTACACTGAACTACTGAAGCTCTGATTTTATACACTATAATATGATAAAGATACAGTACATCTAAAAGCACCCAACTAGGCTACATATGAAACTAATTATCAAATTTCATCAATTTACCTATATATTTCCATCGAAATGAACTTCAAATTAATTTTACTATTGCTAAGTGATATGTTTACAACCAAATATGAAGCATTTTTGAGGCATGCTGATAAACACTCAATCCATATAAACAAATTAAAGTTGTACCATTGAACCCATCTACTATTAAACGTATGAACTATCAACAGAAGCTTCTCTCAACTGACTTTAATCATATTACTCATATGATAACTATATAATCAGGGCAAAAACACAATTATACCATAGAATAATTACAGTACAAGTTATTTATAGGCAGAATAATTACAATTTCTCACTTTAGCATCATCGAACATCTAGTGTGCGCTTAAGAATAATCCTCAAAAATTGCAAATTAAACAGCAAATCAAGCATTAAAATCAAAAACACAAATTGTACCACATAAATCAACTATTTCTATAATAAAAAGGAACAAAAAAAATGGCTAAAACAATCAGCAGCAACTAATCGATAAACCCAAGATTATGAAATTGATATTTGATTAGTTAAGAAGATCTACCTCAGAAGCTGATTCAATGGAGGATAAAAAGCTCACAAGCCGGTTCAATGATGGATGTTCACACGCGCCGCTTCAGTAGGGAATCCAGAGTACACTTTGATGGAGTAGATAAAGCTCAGAAGTTGCTTTAATGGAGGAGAGAGGAAATATCGGGCAAGCTCACGAGCTGCTTCAATGGAGGAGAGAGAAAATGTCGGGAAAGGGAAATAGAGTAGGAGAGAGAAAATTAGGGCAAGTGAGAGAATTTGAAATGACTATATGTGAGATGGAATTTGAAACTAATTGAGCTGGACTTAATTTTGTGAAGGTTTGGATTTGCATGGATTTGACCCAAATACAAATCCAAATGATCGTATTATCCAAACAGGCCATTTGGCCCAAATGGGAATTTCAAATGAAATCCGCATATCCAAACAGGCCATAAGAAAATTCCTAGGAATTTCATTTGGGAAATAATTTTCTATGAAATACAACTTCCTACGGGAATTTATTTCCGTTATCAACCAAACAAGTCATTACTTCATACTGCTGTTTTGTGTCCTCTTGTTGCCTTCGATGTTAGTCCTGCTTGCTTAATGCTTATCAACAACACTTCTGTTTTGTATCTTCTTGTTGAAGATCATATGCATTTTGCCCTCTTTTTTACATTGTTGTTGTTTTTGTGAGTGTTTCGACCTAAGTTTCGTATTTTTATTTGGTTGCATGTACTTAATTTTTAGTTCTTTAATGTTAAATTTTGTTTTTTTTTTCCTGTTGTTGTGTTGCATATGCTTACTTTTATGTTGTTGTGGCTCTGATGAGTTATTTGTATTATTACTTTTTAGGGATACATGTATGTACGTCAGGGTTAATTTAGTTTTTGGAAGTGTTAGGTTGAAGAAGTTTCGAATTTCTTTTGTATTTGTTTAATTTTTAGTTTCTTCTGTATTTGTTTTGTGAATTCTGACCTAAGTTTTGAATCGGTTTTGTTTTTGCGTCATTTTGTTTCATATTATAAATTATCTATAAATAGGTTACTTGAAATTAAGGGTTACTTATAATATGGGTTAACTGTTGAGGAGTTGCTGATAGTATTGGTTACTTGAAATTATGGGAAATTTATAATATGGGTTATTTCAAATTAAATTTGGGATTACTTATAATATGGGTTGAAATTAGGGATTACTTGAAAATATGGGTTACTTGAAATTAGGGGTTACTTATAATATGAGTTCCTTGAAATTAGGGGTTACTTATAATATGGATTACTTAAAATTATGCGTGAGAGTCAGACTTCGTTATTTTTTCTAAGTGTGGCCTGCTACACCAAAAAGGCGCGATATTTTGAAAAAATCGCAGATTTGATGAACCCATCGTGACTCCACCATTGCTAGTTACATCGACTAATAACCCAAGTGCCGGAAAAATTATACGAAGTATCTACTTTTAGTAAAGGGTATTGTTTTAAACATTGTTTTAATCACATCATATCGTGTAATATTAAAATAATTCTAATTAGTGTTTTAAATCATATGGAGTAATAAAGTGGAATGATTCATGATCTCTACCCATGCATGACTGTGACTAAGGAAAGTGGCATGTATCTTGGAACCTTTTTCTGCCGCAGCAAACACCATAATGTTAATAGCTTAACTATTGAATTATATATATGTGCATGTGTCACTGTGTGTATGGAGAGTGAAGAAACAAAAATGGCTGTAGTAGTAGATGATTCAATCAAGAAACCAGCAATACCATTCAACTGGGAAATCCGACCCGGAGTTTCCAAGTTCCAACCACATCAAAGCCCCGAACCACCATCATTGTTATTATCATCATCATCATCTAGACCCGTCTCCTCTTCTTCTACACCATCACAAGAGCTCCAAACGCAAAGTGTTCATTCCATGAGCCTCTTTTCTAGTAGCAAGAAATTTCCTTCATCTTCTTTGACCCGACTTGAGTTGGTTACGAGTCAGAATGGTTGCCTCCCCATTATGTCTTGGTTAAGGTGGAGACGGGAAAAGAAAACCAAGGTGGCTAAACCCAAGTTGAAGTTGAAGTTGGAGTTGGACCCTGAATGTGTTAAGGATTATGCATTCTACTTAGAGAAGTTGGCTCGATGGTCTACAATGCCATCTTCTCGAAGGTTATCTTCTTCATCTTTCTCATCGCGCTTACAAAGATCATCTTCCCAATCCACTTCTAGAGATGTTGATGAAGTGGCTCCATCTAGGCTCTTCCACAACTTGGTTGGGTATTTAAGAAGGCAAAAAATGATAGGAATGGAAGGAAATGGAAGAGAAAACAAAGATGTTAAAATTTCTATTTATGTGGTTAAAAGTTAAAACCTAGGAATGTAAGGGAAATCACCCCCATTCTTCTTGTTATATGGTTGACTAAAAGAAAGGAAAAAATAACTATTGTGCAATACAAGTAATATAGGATTGTTCTTCATGATCAGAAGCTATATAATGGAGTAATTTTTATTTAACATTTTATGTCTCATCACATAAATAAAAGTCTTATACTTGTATTAGAATTTGTCAAGTGCCGAAGGCCAACAAAGCTAGATAAACTAGTACCCGTAGCTTCCTTGATCATCCATTCATGCTTTGCGACAAATTCAAACAAAATAACTAATCATACAATAAAGAAATCAAATTGCATTCATTGCTCACATTGATTTACACGCATTAGGTGCCTCATCCAGCCAACAATCTTAAGATCATTTGGACTTCAGATTTAAGGATGTGTATTGATTATTATATACTCCGTATGTATATTGCACTAGATAATTCCCGAGCCATGCTCGATTTTTAGAATTAATGGTGATTGAAATTCAAATATAAAAGTGTCTAGAAAAATGTACTTAACAATAAATAATTAAACAATAAAGTTTCAAGGCAAATTAATAATTGTGTAAAAACCTTAAAAAGCAAAAAGAGAAAATAATGTAGTAGAATTTAGGAATTTCCTCCAAAAAAAAAAAACTCTGCTTTAATATAGGTATATAGATAGTTGTACTCTTACTTCGGTGAGCAACAATGTCAAATACAACTTTACCCAAAAACTCTCCTCTCGGAACAAGAAGGTAATCGAGAAAAGAAAAACAAGGTTCACATTAAGATTTAACCCGTGACCTTTGTGCTTTTGCTTGACGCAAGATGCCTTCCACATAGCAAGGTTTACCAACCAATCTAAAGTTTTCTTTTTTTTTTTCTACTTATTACTTAAAGAAACATAAAAGTGGTCACCACTACTCCGTACTTTGTTAATCTTTGAAGAAGCTGGTTAATACAACGCAACTGTAAATAAGGATACTAGTGATTTTCTTTTTACTAGTAGGGATGGATGCATGATCAAACGATCCATTTCCGAAATTTTGGTCCAAGAGTTCTTTAAAAGCATACACAAGCAGACATTGTTAAAAATGTCAAAGTTTCATCAACAACAATCATCTCCGGTACACAACTAATGTACAACTCTGTGCTTTCCACGGTATTCAAATCTACGGAACAACTGTATTGCAAAGGTTCATAGCAATACTCAAGTCTACAGCAACCAAAATGAAGGCAGAGAACTACTAAGTCAAGCAAGTATTCAGACTTTTGGCTGCGAGCCCATATTGTAAAAGTATATCTAGTCAACCTGTTTAATATCAAAGCATCCTCGACTGAGCAACACTTGAAACACAAATCTTAGCTAGTTACCTTGCAGGATTTACAAGAATCAGCCAGAATTTCCTCATCTAAGCATTGACCTGAACATAAAACAGAAAAAAGTGAGGAGAAGTTTGAGATACTGGAGATGTCTCGTATGATATGACTTCCCATTACCAATAAATACAATTTTGTTCATCCGAGTTTCTTCTTTTTTCCACGCACGGGAAGGAACGATATCATATATTTCTCTCACAGCCTGCACAGCATTCAGCGGTACACAATTCTTAATGATCACCATAGAAGAATTTAAATGAGTCATATCCAAAGAAAAATATATGGAGTTGTGACTCTTGTGAAAGGAGATCAAGATCCTGGAATAAGAAACAATAAACATGCATAAATGATATGAACTATTACCTGTAGGGTATGGAGTTCGTCAGAATTTGAAATATTTAAAATTCCTTTGCAGTGGTTGACATCCATACCGCCTTTCTTGTCCCAAAGAATCTCTTCAAGCCATATGCGAACCTTAAATGTAATAATGAAAAGTGAGATTGGACCTAAATCTAGTCCAACCCTAAATTAAATGATAAAATAAACATGCAGAACAAAAGAGTATCCATAATTTTTTGGCATCAGATGGAAAAGGCACAAGTTTAACAATACAGCTGTACAGACTAAATCAGGAATTTGGTTACTGATGATCATAGCTCCAGTACCATCACTCTTGTAAGGTCATATGATGTAAAAATGCATGAGTTGGCAACAATGCAAATATACATCCGAGTACTAAAATAGATGCACAGGCCCAGAGGGAGGGAGGAAAGGGGAATAGAAAAATCTTGCTAATATTTTTATCTTTCTCCCTTTCCCTCTCTTGCTCATACATAGCCTAATTTTACCATCTTGAAATCAATCAAACTTCTCTAACAAAATATCAGAAGTATATGCCTTTATATTTCATAGGCTAGTAGAAAAATAAGCACATCTCCATTCTCCACTCAAACCTCTCTCTATAGGCTGAATCAAGCATCACAAGGTACAATGAGAATTATTTCAAGTCCAATCCATATGAAGCACCCAAACTAGATAATATAATATAAAATATGTTAGAAATAAGAACAAAAGGGTCCAATTGGCTATATTGCAAACCCCAATAACAATTACAATATCACATAGCCAACATCTCAAGAAAGTTAAGTACTCCTTCCTTTCTTCATTAGCTGGCACTTGACAATTCTCTACATCATCTATTAAACTATTACGGAATAATATTCACCAATATACAAGTAAATTTGAATGCCAATAGACCCAATACTAAGCAACAAGTCTTTATTATGGGCATAACCCATCAAGTGCAGTAATAGAATTTTCATGGATATGGACTGAATTTAGAGATTGAATGTGAGAATTAAGTTTAAAGGAGGTGATGTGATTGATTATAAACTGAAATTACAGCAATGTATTTAATAATCAAGCATTCAAGAAGCTTGACAACTAACTACCTAAAGTCTAGGGTATCGCTTTTATGACATTATCACAGCCCGCAGACTCCTATGAATTGTTTGGCCACAGTTTGCTAGCTTTGTTATAAAGACTTATAATATAAAGGGAAACAATTAAATAGATTCATGTAG